CAGTTCAAAATATATGAACTTCATATAATTATTTCATTGTATCTGATTTATCACTTTCACGGGTTTATTACGAATCAACTTAACGGCCTGCTCCCAGTTGGCTTGTTAGCTCAATTGGTAGAGCGCTGCACTAGTATCGCAGAGGTCAGTGGTTCGAATCCCATACAGGCCTGATTTTTTTCAGGTCTGATTTTCGCTATTGCTTAAATAGCGCTATCTACTGCGAGGATCGTGTATCATATGTATCACTTCATTAAATTGCTTGACAGTCAAACAGCTGAAAGTCTTGCTCTCTCAATATCTGCCCATCTGTAACAAAGTGCACCATTTTAAGAGTACTGGTAATCCAGATTTAGAGGAACTCTCCATTCATCAAGGGCATGAAAATTACTCTTCCAGACAGGCAACCTTTCTTGCTAACCTGCCCATTTGGGAAAGGCCCAGAAGGCTTGATTTCAGACTTACCTACAGCCCTTTTTTATCTTTTTATCATGGATGTGGATCCCATGTACATTGTTTATTGCTTTGAAGAAAAACAATTTCTGGGACTGAAAACTTTTTTTGACACAACTCTCTTACTGGTACATAGGGTTCCTGGATGCCAAATTGAGATTGTTTTTTGTTTGATTATTTTCACTCAATACTTTCAAATTACTGGTTACTCAGAGCTTAGATGTATACTCGTAGAATCTAAAATTACAGCCTTGTTCAGATACTGCAAGACTGTCTTACTCATTACATACAAGTACCTACTCATGATAAAAATTAATGTGTCCTGTTCTTCTTACAGCATCACATAGCCAGCTACTTTGAGTACTCTACCTCAGATTACCAGGTAGAGCTGTTGAAGGAAAATGAGGAGAATTTGGAAGAGTTACCAGAGAATGACGAGGAAGAATCTATGACAGGAGTGCAGGATATGGACTCTAGTACGTAAACTAAAGATGAAAAGAAGACATTAGTAGACTTGGCTAGTAGGCTTGGTGCCTGGCAATGAAAATCAGGAGGATATGTTGGTTTTTTTTTTTTTTTCTGGTAGATTCATGTAAATATGTACAGTCAAACTTATTTTACAGTCTAAGTTGTTTTGTTGTTTTCTGATCTGTTTCTGGCAAAGTTGAGTCAATCATGAATAATTATGGTATCACTGTTCTGGAAAGATGTGTTTTTAACATCATTTTTGTAAATATGTCATGCAAGTATTAGGAAATTTAATTCTGTGAATATAGATACCAGCATCAGTCTTAAATGAATGAAAAAAAAAGTATATATTGTGATTGTGGATGTGGGATAATCTTCTGGAAGGAAACAACATGCAATCAGGTTAATGTGGCTTGTGAGCTGTAAGTATTTATCCAGTCTATGACAAGTTAAGTTTGCTCTTATCCTAATTTCCATAAATGAAGTGACTTTGAGTATTGCAACTCTCCCTGAACAGGATGGCAGTCCAGTGCAGGTTAATTTCGTTAAATAACAACCACAATTGTCTTTTGTAACAACATTTTTTTGTACGAGTAATATAATTTTATTGTAATATTGTTTGTAATTCAACAACGATCTCACCAGCCTAACTTATGCCATCAACTCAGCCAAAAAAAAATAATAATAAAAAGGGCAGAAGTCCTACCGAAGAAATGAAATTTGTCAATTAAAATGGTCAAAACTCTTAAGATTTTGTAGTGCAAATGTATATTAAGGTGGCTCGTACCAGTTTTCTTGCGCGGGGAACAGGTCACTCTTGCGTGACGCACGCAAGAGAAACGTGTGAAAGAAGTGCGAGATCAAAAGATGAAAATTCAAAACAAAGATGGCAGCGCGTGGAATTTTTTCTACTTTTGTGGGTAGTTTACCTAGGAGCTTGTATTTGATATGTTGAGCGGCTACTGTGAATGCAGGAGATAGAAATTAAGATAACGAAGATGATTTTCGGAGACTGAAGTAAAGGTTGCTTCACTTCACATTTAAAAGAAACATTCAACCCATATGAAATCTTGCGATGGCGAAAAAAGAACTCAAGTGAAGGATAATCTACCTGAAGTGGAGGAAGACTTTGAAACTTCAAGGAAAAATAATATGATATAGCCAGAAGTCATGTGTAGGATTTTTAAGATGAGCCCGGGAGGCTGTCTTTCACAGCTGTTTAATGATTTTCTTAGCAGTAAATGTCTGTAAACATCGTGGGTGCTCGCGCGAGCACACGCAATTGTCAGCGGTAGCTAAAACAGATCATGAGCAAATGTTGATCTTATAGAATCCAGATTTT